GTCCTGAGAAGCGCAGGGCAGAACAGGGTCAATAAAAACACAGCTTTCTTGTCAGTGACTGAAACCGAGTGCCTTAAGTGACCAGAAAATATCTGGAGAGACATTGGAAAGCAAACACTTGAAGTTATTAGTGAACTCCTGGTTGCACCCGCGAGCAGTGTATAAATGGTTCTGATCCTAAACAACATACCACTGGCCACTGGATTGCATACACTCCAGAGATCTCCAAATGGTATCGGAAAAGCTTTGGAAATGGATCGGACTTTGAAACCACAACACATTGGTCGCTCCTTGAAATTTGAACATGAGACCATCAAGTGGCCAGCAAAGGCAAGCTTGGCAATATTTTTCATAAGATTTGAACAAGGCACAAAGTCTGATGTAAAAATGGCCAGGTTATAATCCAACATTATTCAGCATAAGAAGAATGAAGAAAATCTTTATTAACTTGGAAAAAAGAACCAACAGATAACAATACTGACATGACACAGATTTTGGAATCCTCTGACAAATACCTTAAAGCAGTGATTTTTTCAGTGCTTTGAGAATTAGGGCTGAGAACGCTTTGAAATGAATAGAGTGTTAGAAAGTATTAACAAAAAAAATTGGGATATATAAATCCAAACTGAAACTTCAGAACTGAAAATGTATTAACCAAAATTATGAACAACACCTCAATGGATTGTCTTAATGGCAGAAAATGATTGAGAAAAAGTCAGTGAATGTGAAGATAGAACAATAGTAACTATCTAATCTAAAAATGACACAGTGAAAAGTGTATTTTGAAAGATGAACAGAGCCTCAGGGACAAATTGGAAAATAACAAACATCTTGTATTCACATCACTGTAGACACAAAACAAGAAAAGAATGAGAACCTTAAAAATGGGAAAATTTTTTGAATTATTAGTGGCCAAAAACTTTCCAAATTTGGCAAAAGATCTAAACCAGATTCAAAATGTTCAGTAAACTTCAAGCAAGATAAACTCCAATAAATCCACAGTCAGACACATTACTATTAAACTGCTGGAAACAAAAGGGAAATTTTTCTTGAAAGCAGCCAGAAGAAAACTCCAATCTGAATGGTTTTGGATTCCTCATCAGAAATCATAGAGGCCATAAAGAAATGATATGACTATATTAAATACTGAAAGAAAAGACCAGAATGCTAATATAGCAAAATATTCACACAAAGAGGTAAAAATATATTTTGATTTGGAGTTAAACTGAGAGAATCCATTGCTTGCAGAAGTGCTTAAAAAAAAAAAACGTAAAGTTCTGAGACAAGAAAAATGATACCAGAAGGAAACTTAGAATAGCATGAATGAATGAACAATAGCAGAGATAGGAAATATCTGGGTAAATATGACAGACTGTTATTCTCTTGAGTTCTGTAAAGTATGTTTGATGTTTGAAAGTGAAAATTATAACATTATCTCATGGAGTTTTTATTATATCTACATGTACTGTATATATAACATAAAGGGGTTATGGCCAAGGTACCTAATGGTGGTGATGTTTCTAAACTCAACATGAATGGTAATTTATTGATTCTAAATATATTGTGAAATGTTAAGGATATGTATGGTAATCAAGAGACTACCTACTAACAATATTTAAATAAGCCAAGTGAAGGTAGGAAGAAAATGTAACAAAGAAGAATGAAAAACAAAGGGAACAAATCATTAATAAATTATTAAATAGTACATCTATATGCAAACTTATTAATAATAATATTATGTGAGTTCCTTATGGTCAGTATATTTATTTTTAATATATTCTGACAATCTAGACACATCAATTAAAATCAGAGTTTGTCAGAATGTATTAAAAAATATGCTAACCTTAAGAAACTCATTTCAAATGTAGTTGTGTGTGAGACTAAATTTAAATACAAAATTAAAGTTACATAGGCGATTGAAAGTAAAGAATGAGAACAGAGACACCACACAAGGATTAATTTTTTAAAAAAATTGCTGAAGTGGTTATATTAGTATCAGACAAAGTAGATTTCAAAGCAAAGAAAATTTCCTGGTGTGAAGATAGAAGTTACATAATTATAAGGCATCAGCTCACCAATGAAATAACTATTCTAAAAGTATATGCCTCTGACTAGAGCTTCAAAACTCATAGATAAAAGCTTATAAACCTGAAAACAAAAATAGAAAAATCCACAGTTACCATTACACATGTCAACACTCCTCTCTTATTAATTGACAGATCTAGTAGACAACAAATCAACAAACATATTGAAGAACTAAACAACACTCTCCATCCGTGGATCTAATTGACCTTTTAAAGAAAAATATCACAAAGTAGATAGGAACAAGTGTCAAAGAGTTGAGATCATATCAAAACTGAGAAATCAGGAATTGTTGGAGTGAAGGAGAAAAAGAACTTTTTGAAAGTTGTTTACCAGTAAATGCCAGTGAGACTGAAAGTGGTGAAACCGGAAGTGGGACATCCTTGTCCATATCTACCCTTCCAGCACCAGAGGTCTGGGTGGTCAGGTTCCTTCTAAATCACCTGAGCCTACTGCAGTGCCTGGCACAGAGCAGCTCCCCAGTGAATGTGTACTGAACGAATGGAAAGGAAGTCATAGATTTAAAAGAGATTCACAAGACTGATGTTCAGTATGTGGCAAGACAGTGGATGTGGGTTTTGAAGGAGGAGAATGAGCCAAAGTTGACTTGGAAGTCTAAGACCAAAAGTCCAGAACAGGGGAGGCTGGAAATTAGATAGTTGGTGTGTGGATGAATGGGCTACTGTGGAGAAGAACAGGCAGTGAGATCATGAGCTGGAACAGAAAAAAAGATCACAATTTGAAATCTACTAATCTGTTTATCAATTCATGCTTTGCTGGTTAGCAGACTAAGACCTTAGAAACATTACTTAATTTCTCTGAGCCACCAACATAATCTGGAAAATACAAATTATATACATAGTTGTTGCCAAATTTCAATTGAACTATATGAAAGTATCTCTGTAAATTTCTTAGTATCATTTAGTGGCACATAAGACTGGGGAAAAAATGGAAGATTTTTTGGTTAAGTTTAGTTTGTGGTTTTTTTGAATCAGGAATGTCTCCAGTCATGTCTGTGCAAGTGGTGATGCAGAGTTAAGACGGAGAAGTATAGACTGTATATAAATTCACTGACAAATTCACTCAGTCAGTGAACTAATATGAACTGGGCACCTCCAAGCTTATTTTGAACATAGGGTACCAAGGGAAGTGTAAGGAAGTGACTGAGATTTCTGAGGGAGAAAAGAGGCTGATCATTGGAACATAAGAGGGAGAAAGAACAGCAAAAGACAGGTACAGTTGTCTCTGGTCCTGCAGGCAGAGGGTCCAATTACTGGATGAATACTGCAAAGGTGTAGACTCCATCATTTCTTGATGTGGAATCCTTCAGGTGCCGAATTGGCTTATGTGCAGTGATTTTCAAGCTGCACTGATTGTGTTCTTTAAATGCTGGAAACTGATAATGCAGCTGTGTTTGGAGAATAAGATTTTATATTTTACTTTGAATGTGAGCAGGTCATAAAGTTTTCCTCTCTTAGTGCAGTTGGCAGCATATCAGCCTCATAACCTTAAAGTGTGGATCTTAAATTTTGCAGAGGGCAGGTTTTCTTACTTTTCACAGTTGATGTAACATGACATTGCTCTATGTAGTATGTTCAAAAGAAAGGATTGGAAATAGAACACAAAATAAAAGCAGCAAAAACAGATTTTAAAAAACCTCAAATCAGTAAACCATATGTAGTTTGTCCCAATCCCCACTGAGAATGGTTAAATCACTTCCCAGTGGTTTGATAATATGTGTGATGAAGAAATTTAGATTTCTAGAAATGCCAGAAACTACAAGCTATATCCTATAGTTGATCTTCCTCACCATCTGATGAGGGAAGTAGGGGAAATTCCTCTTCCACTTTGTGTTTTGAGGGTAACTTAATCTGTAGTTTTGGGGTGAAAGAAGTGTAAAATCATTCATTCATATATTTATCTAACAAATTTTTCTTGGGCATATATCCTTTTGGGGACTGTTCTAGGTGCATTAATTCAAGAATGGGAAAACACACACACACACACACACACACACACACACACACACACAATTCTCTTCTTGTAAAGTTATATCCCAGGTGAGAAAATAAAGAAATAGACAAAAAGCAAATAAGAAAAAAATGAATAATAAGCTAGGTAATGTTTACTATGGGGTAACAGTTAGTCATTAAAGTGATCAGGCGTGTAGAGGTGGCATGTTTAGCTTTGAAAGGAAGAGTCAGAAAAATTGTTACCTTGATTATACCATTTAGTCTCTTCTTGTTTGCTGGGATCCTTGCCCAAAGCTTTCCTAACACTTTCACTAAAGTAATTTTTACACATCAAGGCAACTGGGGGTTATGAAAGCTTTTTTGCCATAAGATAGGTGGGCACCAGGGAGAAGATAACTCCCAGATGGTTTTTGGTCTAATATCCAGTTGGACAAGCAAAGGGTAGTGAAAGACTCAATGTTCTGTATGGGATATTTCCTTAAGTCCACTATTTCTGGAATCAAGTGTGAGAAGAGAAAAGAAAAGACATAGAGATGAAGAATGGGGCAGAGGCAAGGGCCTGAGTCGCTCTGAAATGCTTTAGCTAACCCTGCTCATGCCAAGGACAGCCCTGCAGGAAGTAAGCAGATGCATAACCAGAAAAATGCATCTCAGGAGCTAGTCATGGCTAAGAAATATTTGAACACCTTGAGGAAGAGATGCAAAACCGAGGTCGTTATGCCTGTGTTTCTGTTTTTCAACGTTGTTCCCCGATTCCAGTTTCCTTCTGGAATCTCGAAGAGCTATTAAGATCCCTTCAATCATCTGATCCTCCAAAGACACAACACCAGAAGCACAAATCCACTCTATATCACTTCAAGATTAATCGGTGCACATTAATTTACATTCTTTTCTTAGAGTTTTTATAACACAGCGTTATCAAGTGAGTAGGCGCAAAAGTACAATTGGCCCATACGGGGGTCGAACCCGCGACCTTGGCGTTATTAGCACCACGCTCTAAACCAGCTGAGCTAACAGGCCTGACACCCCCAACACTTCTCTATCTTTGACTGGATATTTAAAGGTGAATGTTATTTCAATCATCAAAGAAAGTTTTTTCCTCAAGTTCATCTCAGAGCTTGAAAGAAGTTACAATCCTCGATTTGTTTTAAGCCTAAAGTTTCAGCTAAAGTTTCTGCAGAAGGAAAGTTCAATTATCAAAATTTCAGGTGCCTGCTTAGGTGTTTTATGATGTTGGGTTTTCATGAATAATTTATTTAAAATGGAACCTCACCATATTTCACCCTGTCTCTCTGGTGCTTCTCTTCCTCCTTTTTACTTTGCTTCCATTTCCTCCTGGGTGACCCTCGGAAAACTGACGGAAGGTGAAGTTACCGCCACTAGCTCTCCACCCGCTGTCAAGGCAGACGTAAGTCGCCCACCCAGGCTCCTCCGCACGTTGGTTTCTGGCACAGTTCCCGCTGTGTTCTCCACTCATTTCCCCATAAACGGAGTATTTGGTTCCTCCCGCTTCCCATTTTTAGTTAATTTGGGAACATATTCCCATACTGCTATTTGAAAAAGACACTTTAGATAAATACGTTTCATTGCAGTCTTTGTGTATGTGTTTCTTTTCTTCTTCATGAAACAGATTTAGTCGATTGACACCTTGTGCACAAAAAGACTCAGCTTTGAAGTTTCGACATATGACCTTGAGAATGACTCGCTAGGAGCTCCACGGATCTCTCTGTCTGACAGGTTAATACTTTCTGCCCCAAAGATCAGACCTAATTTCTCCTCTGCCTTCTGTGCTTCCGCCTAGCAGGCCATTTCTCCCGTAGAGAGAATAACGGTTCCTAGGGATTCTTTTTTGGAAAGTGTCTCGGATCCCCTCCTAATATGGTTCGCAGCATGCTCCGTCAATAGAGTGGTTGAATCCCCAGGGATACCCACGGTAGCTATGTATTGCATTATTGAATAAATAAGAGTTGCAATCCACTGCTTTGCTTTATATTACAGAAGTTCAGCCTCCGTGCCTGGACCATTACGCTAATATCCTGTTTCTTCTCTTCGCTGTTCGACTCGACTCTCACGTCTCCTCAATCCATTTTTCACGGGGTTGGCCGGTCTTTCTGCCTCATTCCTGAAATTCTGTCCACTGACCCCTCTATGCAAACTGATCCTTGATAATGTTCCTTCGTGCGGTATTTCCTCCACCCCACCCCCGAGTTTCCGCGCTTTGCACTGTAGAGAAATGCCTTTCCGTGAGGTAGCTGGAGGTGTCCTCCGCAGAGAGTGATTTTGAACATAGCCTTGAGTAGAGAAAACGGAAAGGAAGAAAGGAAATAAGGCTGTCAGAAAATGGCTTGAGAAAACACACATTCTCATTATGCCTTTTTTTCTGATCTCAAAGCCAGAGCCCCCAGAAGGGAAAGAAAGAAATCACTGCGGAAATTTCCGAGGTTATTGTGGTTAGAAAGCAGAGCACTAAGATCACTGCGCGCCACTAGAAACGGGCGAGCAACATTTTGCTCTTACTCTTTTGTTGTAATAGTGAGAAATGTAAACACTGCACGAACTTGGGTGAGGGGGGCGAGATGAGAGTATTTCCGGTATGGCAGATTCCCATGGCTGTTTCAGAAACTTCGAAGAGCCCTGCATTTTTCTGCATTTCCTGATCATCATTTGTTTCCCAGTGAACTTCCTCCATGCAAGAACATGATGCAGAGGAAAACTCTTCCTCTCTTCGCCTCCAAATTTTGAACTTGATGACTGACCAGAGCGACCATCTTATTCCCACACCAGCCAAGTCCCTTAGAACATGAAAAGTTTAAAACAGGCATTTTCAAGTCGTCAAGAAAAGAAATGTCTTTCGGCCTGAATGCAGAGACTAGCAGCTGCTGCGAGGTCCCATTCCACAAGCCAATCTGCCTGGGACACCCGCGGAATTCTTGCGCGGTCATTGAACACCCATGCTCTCCTTCATCACTAGAGAGTCTTTGGAGGACGCAGTTTCGAGGATCCAGAAGAGACCCTGAGCCTTTTTCATCCTGGAGAAAAACAGGAGAGTCCCGGAGAGGAGTTCACAGTTCGTGGCATTGCGAGCAAGAGGACGTGGCACCTGAAAGACATGATCACTTTCTAATTTCCTCAGACTATTTGAGGTATGCTGAGAGATCATCAGTTTGAGGTTTTCTCGAGGACCATCCCTTTCCCAGGGCCGCTTTCATGTCCTGAGTATCAGCCACAGAAATCTTGGGATATGTGGGGCTTGGGCTCAAGTTGAAGAAGGAGAAAGGCTGTGAGGGAGAGCCCCAATGCTCAGTCCTGCTCAGTGAATTCATTCTCCTGACTGCTTTGATCTTAATAGATTCTGAGAAGATGATGGGCTGGAATTGCTTCTAGGTATTTTCTGCTATGATGTTTCTGCATATTTGTGTCTATCTCCAAGAGTCTCTAAAAACAAAAGAGAAAAGACTATCCGGGTTTTGTGTGTGTTACACAGGAGACCGGCCTCTTTATTTCCTTTTATAACTTTGAACGTTTCTAAAATTATTGCTCAGGACCGGCATTACCAGTTGAAGTACAGAGTCACAGACGACTTTGATGGGATCCTGAGCAAATGGGTAAAAGGACAGACTTCCCAACACTCTCTTTCTTCCGCTCTTCCTGTGTGAATTCATTTTCTATAAATTCCATTGAGCGTCATAACTTTCCTTTGCCCGGATCTCCAGCTCTTTGTAATCCCCTCCCCAAGCCGGAATCTCCTGAGAGATCTTAGACCCGCAAGTTCTCTCTCATCTAGCTTCTCTAGGTCCCTGTCATTGACCTTTCTTATTTCCCAGGTTAGATCCCCACGTAAATCTCAGATCCAGTTAGCGGAGAGGTCTGGTCACCATTAAAATTAGGTTTTTCTTGGCTTCTATAACAGAGGATTGGGGATCCATCTGACATAAAGCACAGCGCATTGCTGAAGTGAAAAATGACCAGCTCAGCCTCGCAAAGACCTTCTTCCTCTTTGAGCATCTCTGCACGCTCAGAGATCCTCCATCTCTCTTCCACTGTTTGCCTCCACTAGTACAAAATTGGATTGTCAGTTAAGACATCGCGAGCCTTATCAGGTGTGGAACTATACGGGGGGAGGGGTGGATCAAGACTTCGATTTACTACACTTCCAATATTTCAGTGTCCAGTATTTCTCTGTCATCTATGGGCTCATAGAAATTTTAAAGACCCACCCTTGCCCCACCCCCACCCCCACCCCAAGTCAGTGTTTTCTAGATCTATGTTGAGCTATAGTCAACAGGGAAGTTGCGGCTACCCATCAACAGGGTAAGGAGATGCTCAGCTGGAGAATGTGGGCATGGATCCTGCAGGCTCCAGCCTGAGAAGGTGGTGATGTACAATTGCCACGGCTGTTTTGAGCGTGTAGTTATTTCGGGCCAGAAGTTTTATGCCCCTACCTGGCTTTTCAGGACTATGCTGGACCTCCAAGATTCACAGCCAGCAGATGGAGTGTCTCCAGAACCCCTCAGGAAAACAGCCATTGTGCGGAGCCAGGAGTGGGTATCTAACGGGGACCAGAAGCGGTTAGCCTGAGAAAGCTCTGGTCCGGACACAATCTCACTTTTTGATACTTCAGAGCAGAAGTAACTTCGTCCCAGAGGTAAATAAGTACAGAAGCAAATACCAGGAATACGAACATACATAAGAGAAAGGAAAGAAAAAAAAGACATGCCCTCTCTGAGGCTCGAACTCAGGACCTTCAGATTATGAGACTGACGCGCTGCCCACTGCGCTAAGAAGGCGTTGGAAACACAATCTTGGCCATACTGTAAAGAAATTATCTAATTTCTTTCCCCGAAAAGGACTACATTCTAGATTTTCGATTTCCTTGGTCCAGGGTTACTGGTTATCCAAGATATGTCCAAATATCTGGATTCCTTTTTAGCCCCGTGCTCAAAAGAGCTTCATACCTGGAAACTAGTGTATCCACTGAACAACTGTGTATCCACTGAACCTCTGGCTGATGTTTTCCAGTAGTTAAATGAATATACAGTTCCCAAACTTACCTACAGTCCACACTTTCGTGTCTTAATTTAAATCTACATTTCCACCTATGTTGCCTGAGATATTCCCCTCAAAAATCACAAACTCATTTTATAAGTCTCCATGTTTTCTTCACTTCTATGTACAAAAAATTCTGTTCCATTCTATCAAAGTGGGAGGGTATAGCTCAGTGGTAGAGTGCATACTTGGCATGTATGAGGTCCTGGGTTCAATCCCCAGTTCCTCCACTAAAGTGAATAAGTAGATCTGACTACCTACTCCCCCCGACCCTTGCCCTGCAAAAAAGATTCCGTTCACTCAATTTCATTTAGCCCAGTTTATTGCCATAATTCTATATATCAGAATTATAGAAATGTAATTTTATATATCATTATTCACACTTTACTGATGAAACTGAGACCCAGTAGAAATAGATTCACAGCTGCTAAATGGCAAAACCAGATGTTGAAAGCAGATTTTGCTGATTCCAAAAACTGTGCTTTCTTCACTTTAGATTATGTTCTTTCCATCATTTCCCCCCGTATTACCACATTCACTCATTATACAAATATTTATAGAATTATAAGTCCTTCAGTCCATTCAACAGACACTAATTCACAACCTGCCATGTGCCTGGCACCTGGGTTCAAAACTTCCAAGTCAACCTTGGCCTTTTGTCCCTCAAATCTTCACAAATACCTTAGATCATCAGTTCTCAAAGTGTAGTGCCCAGACCCATGGAGGTTCTGAGATACTTTCAGGATACCTGTGAGGCAAACAATATTTTTGTAATAATATCAAGGCTTTATTTGCTATGAAAAAAATCTGATGGTGCACAACAGAGCACAACAGAGCACAAAACTGCTGGTCTCTCCGATATGTCAAGGCAGTGACATCAATTGATACTAACGGCCATTGTGACCATCTGCCATACACTCAGAAGAAAGAGAATGTATTTTACTCAAGAATATCCTTGATAGAGCAGTAAAAAA